AGAGAGAGAGAGAGGATAAGATAGAAACTTACTGTCTTTACGTCGTGACGAGGAATGTCATGTCTATCTAGGGGGTCCACCTCCATTGAATTCTGTTTCAAAATTCATGTTCTCAAAAGATTTGTTGGGTGAAATTGAAACCAAAGGAACGAATCTCTTAGAGAGAGAGAGAGAGAGAGTTTGCAACCCAAGAAAAGCAAAAGGAATCCATACCTTTGCTTCATTGTGACAGTGCCTGCAATCAAATATCTCGTTGCAACAGGGTGCCCTGATTTTGCAACGCCTCCTGTAATGAGAGCACCTGAACCACAAGAAAAACCAAAAACACAAATAATTCAATAAAACATTGAAATCTAGGGGAGAAAACAGAGTTATGGTCCCCATTAAAACAACCCAATAACGAAAAAAAAAAATCGACTAACCCAAAATGGCCAGAACCATGATCCATTTCAGAACCAGATGATGATTGGAGCTCACAAATAATCTCCATTTCTTCGACCTGAAAATGCAGCAACCAACTTAGAAATGAGAACGCCCCTGTTTTTTCTCCCTCTGCTTTTTCCCTTATTTCTCTTATTTTTTGGCGGGTGAGCTTGAAAATTTTACTGCTGATGAGAGAAAACCTCTGGTTTCTTCAGAAGGGTTTTCCCACGTAATCTCTCCCTTTAGTCACCACGAGCGGTTTTCCCAATCGATCAAAACCGCTTTAAAGCAGCAGAGCGAGACCGCTTGCTCATGGAGAGCGGGGCTCCCTAAAGCCAGCCATCTGGGGAGACCTATTTATATGGGGTCGACACCATCATCACGAAACCCATTAAACTCTCTCTCTCTACAACTGCTCACTTCCTTCCCTCCCTCTCCCTCTCCCTCTCCCTCTCCATCCATCCTCCTCTCTCTCTCTCTCTTCAATTATGCATCTCTCTCTCTCTGCATTACATATAAATATGGTCTTTAATTAATGCATTTCGTCTCTCTCTCTACAAAAACTTCGAAATCCTAAAAAACCCTCTCTCCATAAAAGTTGAAAAAACTTCATTAAAAAAGGACAGTTGGTGATCATTTATGGAAATCCCGGAAAACCACCTAACCATCACGTCAGATGAACCGTTTCTTACATGTAATGAGGCGTCCTAATTAAATGGGGATCTATTATAGATGCACAGAATGGAACAGTGGTTGTAGGGAGAGAAAGTAGAAGATAGAGAGAGAAAGTAATAGAGTGTTTCTAATCCGGATCATATGTTGCTTAGTTACCGTTGGCCAGGAAAAGCGGAGGAGCTGAGTGGCTTGCAAAAAGGCTTTCCTCTTCTTGACGAAACGGTTTTGGAAACTTTTATGAATACAATACAATGAAACTGGTGCGGGTTGATTGTTGTTGAGTGAAAGGAGAGAGAGGCGCGTGGCATTTTATAAGGGAGGGAAGAGAAGACGGATGCGCGTGGAGGTGATAAAACCACGGGAGTCAAAACGGGTTTTGTTGAATGAAAACTGCAACGTGGAAGGTCCTTTTTTTTTTGGGTAAGACGTGGACAGCCCTTTGATTTGGACTAAATGACGCATATGATCCTTGCTGTGGAGATAGACTACTAACATGAAGTTTCCAAAGTGGGCCGCAAATTAGAGTGGGATTCAGGACCGTAAAGAGGATAATGTCTATATGAGGCCTCAATCCCATTGGAAGTAATGTTCATGGATATTAGGAAATTCTCCGATTGATTATCTCGACCGAGATATATAGATATTAAAAAAAAAAAATTTAAGTCTTGAAAATAATGTATCTTGTAATAAGTGTCTAAAGCATCTATTTTCAAATATTTTAGGTGTTTATAGGCTTGTTTGATCTGTACTATTTGGGATTATATACATATTATGTGATCATTTGTCTTTAGTACAAGGAGGTCACAACTAACCCTAACCATTAGATATCTGTTTGGATGGCTTAGGGTGTATCATAAAGTTCAAAAAAATTTGTTTTGGGCTTTGAGATTAGTCTCAAGTACACTTACAACCATCTGATTTGAAATTTGTTGGCCAAAAATAGTTATGACTTCTTTGTACTAAAAGTAAATGATCTTTTTGTATAATTTTTCATATTATTTTTATGATTTTAAATAGTTATAACTTCTTTTCCTACAGCATAGAAGTTCTATCATCCCCTTACCATCCAACCATCCAATTTTGATCAAGATAGTCATTCATCGTTTGATCTTAGATCCGACGTCTTAAGGTATTTTATTTTTAGTTTTTTTTTATAAAAATCGTATGAATATGAAATATGGTATGTACCATCTTCTCATTGGGGCGCACTTCTAAAAAATATTAAAAATAATTTTTCGATAAAATATAATGATGAAAATACCCCTTGAAAATTTCAGGGGGATTTTGGTTATTTTATTTTATTGAAAATATTTTTTTTATATTTTTTGTTAGTGCGAGTTTAAAAGAGGAATGGACGTCCAAATTTTGGTGTCAAAATAATTTATAGAAAAAAATTAAAAATAAAATAGTGTAGAGACGTGACATTGTGATTGGCGCAATCTTCACTCTCCATTTAAAATGGACGGTTGGATAAGGGGGAAAATAGAACTTCTATACTGTAAGAGAAGCATAGAAAGCTTGTCCTCTAGAATAGGCTCAAAGTTAAGTGGTTAGGGCAGCAGGGTGCATGAACTTGATATCTTGAGTTCATTCCTATCAAAACTAGAGCACACCACCTTGTTGAACTATACAAAAAAAAAAAAATAGAAAAGAAGGTGAATGCTCCCATACACCCGCCGATCAAGGTCATATGTCTCGTATGGTTTCCTATTTATAAATACCAAACAAATTTTTAATTATCAAAATTTCTTTTATATGTTATTATTTCTATTGCTAAACTTTGGATTCTAGCAAATAATATTAACATATTTTCTCTTTGAAAAAATATCAATATTCCCCAAAATTTCTCAAGCAAAAGAAATCCATGGTCTTGAAATTTCATGATAGGTATCTTCCTTTCTCGAGTGCCTACCCAACCACCCTAACTCACTGGCTACTACCAATTTATTGTCTTTACTTTAATTCCATCGTCCTTTTCCTAAAGATAAATTCACCAAAATCCTATGATGAGGAACAATTCAATATCTTACTCATTTACAATTATTCCAACGCAAGACCAATTTTTTTTATGTTACTTTGAAATTAAGTCAATGTGCATGTTAAATCATTTATCTTTTTATAGATATTTTGATAAATTTCTCTCTTTCCACTTCAATGTTGAAAGAGCTACAAATTTTCTCCATTTTAAGGGCAGCTTGTGAGGCTTAGATGCTTCTCTTGGTTGAGGAGAAGCCGTTCATTATTAGAAAATTGTTTTACGAGTCAGCCGGCATAAGAGCCTGTTGATTTACAAAAATCCATCCTAAAGATGTATGTTATCTAAGAATATTGTCTATGAACAAGATATGGATGGTCCATAAAAAATACTACAAAATTATATTTTAAATTTTAAAACATTATTTTTGTTTTCATACTTATGATCATCTTGGCCTAGATGATGAATCTACAAAAGAAAATTAGAAAAAACATTCATCTAAAATGAATTTTAATTGGGGGCCGCATATATACATATGAGTCGGCCGACTCATAGAAACCCCATCCATCATTATTTGCGGCAGCTAAAGTTGGTTATACATTTGGGGGCAAAAATAGGTGAGGAGCCGAAGGAGAACGTTGGAGACAGCCGAAATTTCGGTGGATTTCGGGTTGGAGACAGGAAGGTGACGTTGTTGGGCGATGGGAGTTATTATAAGTTGTCGAATCCCAAGTGGATAGGAATGCTGACGAGGCGTGGGTCCCTCCACGTCAGCAAGTATCGAAACGTGAGGTGCACCTATCCTTTTCTGGGCCAGGGTTAGGGTTAGGGTTAGGGTTTGTAGCAGCGGTGGGCGTTGCCATCAGTCGTATCATATGTGCAATCCTCCTAAGCACGTCTTTTCTTTTGTTTGCTTTTGCATTCTACTTTTCTTATTATTTGAGTCTTTCGCTTTTAACCCCACATTTACAGCGGTACACGCCTTTTTTGTGCCACTTTTTCTTTAGGAAAAAGTTTATTTAAAGTTGCAACTTTAAAATGTAAAATAAAAAATACAACTTAAAAATCTATCATAAAATGTTTATTTTAATATTAAAAAATCATTTAATTGATCATCTCGTATTGAGATGTATGAATATAAAAAAAAAAAAAATTTATTAAAAAATAGTGCATCTTGTAAAATATTATATAGACTGTCCATTTTTTAAATTTTGATATAAAAATAAATTTTCGAATAATCTTAAAAATATTTTAAACTAAAATTACACAAGGTAACAAACTTTGGAAGTACACCTTAATTGGATTGTTTATGATTGCCACGTTACAGAGACCACACCCTTGCCTTTATTTTCATTTGTTGGAACTGAAAAGTTGTATCCCTTATTTGTTCGCAACATGATAAGGTTTGTTGTGTATATATTCTGCATGCACTCTCCATATTTATTTATGGAAAATGGTTTGATATGGCTGCAAGCCTATGAAAATAAATAAAAGCCTCATCTTATAACTCATCAAAAATTGTAATAAAAGTATTGGAAGGCTTTTGCATTGACCATCTCGGTTTGAACATTGTGGTTTTAGAAGAAAACTTGGATTTCGAGTCCTAAAATAGTATATACTGTAACAAATTATCTAGACTGTTCATTTTACCTTAAAAATAAGTCTTCACATATACGTAAGATTTGTACTATTTTTAGCTTCAAATTTTATTGTCGGTGTTGAAAATTGATTTTAAAGTCATCGAGGAGATTTTTGTTGCCAAAGTGCTTTCCGAATGAAGATTTGAGCTGAGGCTTTACTTTGTTTTTATAAAACATAGGCCTTATAGAAACTTCATTCTTAAGGGTAAGGCCCTAAACATATAAACTAAGACACACCTCAAAAATCCAATAAAGAAGGTTATTTCATGCCCAAAAATCCTCAAATCCATCATCTCGACATCAAGATGTATGGGCATGAGAAAAAATAGATTCCAAGTTTTGAAAATAGTCCATCTTATAATGTATTTTTGGATCATCAATTTTCAAAAAAATTTAAGCTTTCATAGATATGCTCGATGTACACTTTTTATGAAGCTTTAAACTTTACAATTAGGTATAAAAATAAAGTTTCAAGCCATCACAAAGATTTCCAGTACCGGAAAAACATATCCCGACACTATTTAGAGGTACCCCATACTTTGATTGTTTGGAGCCTTTGTCCTATACAAACTAGACCCTGTATATTATAAGACCTTATTTTTTTGTAAGGTCACAATTACTTTAAGCTACTTAATGTGAAATCCAATAGATGAAAGTATGCCACAACATTCGAGAAATTTCATTTTGGACTTTGTGCCCGAACAATGAGTTATCCTCATCCACCCGATTTTAAATCTAATGGCTGATGATGATTTGACCTCCTTGAATTGAAATTAAATGGTCTCATCGTATACATTATGCAGTCTTTTTCGCATCTTTGGGAGTTTACAACATGTTTTAATACGCAAGGTATAGATCAGGAATTGCTGATTCGGACTAGGAATCTGTCTAAACCAATCCCGGTTCATATGACTTGCAATGGATGGAGCAGCCCGGCTCTAAAACATTAGGGCCCAAGCTACAAATTGTGGCCCGAGAACCGAGCTAGGACCAGGGCAGGGCCCTCTTTTTTCTTTTATATTTTTTTTTCTTTTATTTGGACAGGCCCGGTTCAGTCCGGCCCTCATAGGGGCTAGGTCCAACCTTATGGGGATAAAGGCCAAGCCAAGGCCAAGGCTGGCCCTACCATGCCCGCCATGTTGCC